GGTAAATAAATGCCTAATGAAATTAAAGAATGCTGAATGAAGTAGATTACGTAAATATGGATCATTCATTCAAAGCGTTTAAAAATATATATAAATACATCAAAACCGTAGAGGCAACTCTACATGCTCTTTATTAATTTGTTTGTTCAATACTCTAATAAAGTCACCGAACATCCAGTTAATAAAACAATAATAAATTATATTGAAAATAACAAATTAGTTATTTGCTCTTTCTATTTAGTAAAATAGATAACTAAAAAAAGAAAAATGAAATTTTCCTTTTTTTTTTATTGTAAATTAATTTTGTTAATTGTATAATATGAAATTTTCATTTAGAAAAAAAAAAAAATCTTTTCTTTTTTATATTATTTAATAATGGGTTTCATTATTCAATAATTAAATTTTATTAGTGGAATTAATTTTTAAAACCATGAAAAATTTAATTCAAAATTAAAAAGAAAAAAAACCATGTTAAATTTTTATTATTATTAAAAATTTATGTATTTTTAAAAATTTTTCAATAACTTTATTTTGCATATACTATTTTATTTTAATATATTATTCTGAATACAATCAATAGCTTTAATGATACTTTAAGCTTTTAATAAAAAAAAGAATAAATTTATATTAATTAAATGAACTCCTCTGAAACAATAAATATCTTTTAATATAAATTATATGTATAAATTTTATTTTATTATAATAGAAGTATATTTTTATAACAGTTAAAACTAATAGAAACAACTATTCGAGCTCTTAATTTGTTTATTTAATATTCCAGAAAATTCCTTCAGCAGCCAATTAAAAGATCAGTAAATACTCTGTGAATGATATTATAGACCCCTTTTGTATAATATTTAGATGAATAAATAGAAATAGAACATATTATTTTGTGCATGCTAAATAGCGGATACAATATGCAATTGGTTAATAAAAGGTTTCATTAACCTTTTTGGTAATAACAAGAACAAGCTATATGAAGAATACGTAGTTTGTTATGCACACGCGGAAAAAAAAAAAAAATTATTGAATTTTTTTTATATTCTCCTTTAAAAAATTGAGATACGTAAAAAAAATATATTTATTTTTTTTAAAATTATTTAATTGGTGAGAGAAAATTGGTAAAATAAAAATCGGCAGTAAGATTTTGTACCAATAAAAATGAGATCATAAACAGACAAAAACATTTACATATAAAAGAGTTTAATTTGCATAATATTAATATTTTTAATTTGTGAGAGAAAGTTTTATACATATGACAATAAAATTTTCACGTAATCAATTTTCATATAATTTATTTGCATTTTTACTAATTGTTTATATTTGTTAATTCAACAGCAATAAATTTAAATCGCTGAACATAACTCATGACAAAGAAATAAATAATTTACAATTAAATAATAATCAATATTCAATAAGGATTTAAGTTTTTAATAAAAATAAGGATTTTTATTAAAATAAATATATGCCTATTGAAATCAAAGAATACTGAACGAAGTAGATCACATAATTAAGAATCACTCGTTCAAAGAATATATAATATTGGTTAATAAAAGGCTTCATTAACCTTTTTGGCTATAAAAGGACTAGCTATGCGGAGAATACATAGTTAGTTGTGCTAACTAAAAAAAAAAAAAAAAAAAAAAAAAATTATTGGAATTTTTTTTTGAGAAATGTTTCTTTCGAAAAAGATAAAAAAAAAAAAAATAAAAAAAAAGATTTAATTTTTTTTTTAAAAGAGGGAAGAGAATCAGAGAGAGAGATTTTTTTTGTTACAAAAGATAATGACATTTTTGTAAAGCGTTTACTTAGCATAATATTTTATATTTTGAATTTGTGAGAGAAAATTTTATACATATGAAGATAAAATTTTCACGTAATTAATATGCAAATAATTTATTAGCATTTCTAATAAGTATTTGTGTTTTGTTAATTCAATAGCAATATAAAATGATTGCTGAATATAACTCATAATGAATAAACTAGTAATTATAATCAATTAATAGTTAATGTTAAATAAGTGTTTAAATTTTTAATAAAAATAAGGATTTATTTATTAAAATAAATAAATACCTTTTGAAATAAAAGGATGCTGAACGAAGTATTTTATGATTAAAGATCACTCGTTCAAAGCTTATAAAAATATACATAAGTATAAGAAAATCGTAGAGTCATCTCTGCATGCTCCTTACTAATTGGTTTGTTCAGTACTGTAGCAAAGTCACCGAACACCCAGTTAATAAATCAAATATATATAAATACATCAAAATTGTAGAGGCAACTCTACATGCTCTTTACTAATTTATTTGTTCAATACTCTAGCAAAATCACCGAACACCCAGTTAATAAATCAGCAATATAAACACGTACATTAAAATAGTTATTAAGAAGTATCTACACTAAAAATATATATATATATATATATATATATATATATATATATATATACAAATGCTTGCACTAAAAGTAATTACACAAAAAAAAAAAAAAAAAAATTAAATAAATAATAATAACTTCTTTTATTTATTTATTTTTTTTTTTTTATGTATTTACAATTTTAAAAGAAAATTGTCAAGTTTTTTCCACTGGAAAATGACGCTGACCCAAAAAAAAATATATTATTATAATATTTTTTTTCTGTTATTTTCTTTTTATCTTTTATTTAAAAAATAATTAAATCTTAAAAAAAGAATGTTTTTTTTTAGGAGGGAAATGTTTAGTTGGTATGGAGTGCATACTTATTTTTAAGTTGAAATGTTAAAAAAATTATACACTGAAGTGTTGTATAAATTAATTTAAAAATAATAAACTAATATGTTGTAATTGATGTTGATTAATAAAAATATGATTTTCAAATTAAAATTAAATTAAATATAGTTTAGTACACATTCTCTTTATTAATTTGTTTGTCATATACTAACAAAGACATTGAACAATCAATTAATAGATCAGTGTATTAATATTCGTATAGAATGATGTATAAACTAGAGTATATCCAATTTACTAATCTATCGTTCAATAATTTAGACATATCAATGAACAAACAAATTAATAAAGAGGATATAGAGTTTTCTTTACTAGTTTTACTGTTATAAAAATATCTCTATTATAATAAGGGAAATTTTACGAATATAGTTTACATAAAAGAATATTTACTGTTTCAGAAGCGTTTATTTAATTAATATAAATTTATTCTTATTTTTATTCAAAGCTTGAATTATCATTATAGCTATCAGTTATATTCAAGGAAATATTTTAAAATAAAATAATAAATTCAAAATAAAGTTAACAATTTTTTAAAAGCACATAAAATTTAAATATAAATAAAAGTTAAACCTCCTTTGTTTTCTTTTCAACTTTGGGTTTCATTTTTGATACATTTAAAAATTAATTTAACTAGAGAATTTTATTTCCAAAATAGTGAAAACCATTACTCGATAAGCTAAAGAAGGGAAGAAAAATTTTTTTTTATATATTTTCTTAAATACCAAGCATTAGTAATAACCTGGTATTTTCCTACAATTTGCTAATGTTTCATAAAAGGACAACCACATATTTATATTTTTGAATACTTTGTATGTAAACAAAACTCTTTACTTCGATTAGTTATATTAAAAATTCAAAAATGTCAATAGTATTCTTTATAGACCACATGTTAAAGCTTAAGTTAACATTCAGTCATAATTTGTATTTAATCTATTCTCAATAATAATTTCATTATAAAAAACATTATAATTAAATGAATTTTATATATGCATCTATTTATTTTTTTAGAATTTCTGTTTTTTCAATAATTTTTTTGAGGAAGTATTGTTTTATGCTAACAAATTTTTTCTGTTTTCATTTTTTTTACTTTAATATTAATATATACCTAATTTATAAAATTATTACGTAACTATTAAAATGAATTTAATATTTTTTTACTAATATTATTATTACATAAATTCAAACTTAATTCAAGTATTTTTTATTTATAATAAAATATATATATATATACTGTTTTATTTAATTCATTTATTTTTTATTTATATATTATTATTTGTTTATAAATATATTATTGCATGCGTAATTTTATTTCATTTCTATTTCTTCATTTATCCAAATACTGTTATAGCTTATCAATATATCATTGTTAATTATATATCGTTATTAAAATGAAATTGTTATAAAATTTATATGTATTTTTTTTTTAATATAATTAATATCATATAATTGTAATTTTAATTATTATATAATTAATATTAGATCATCACATTTATGTATATTTTCTTGATAATTCTTGAAAGAATATTTTATTATATATATTCAGAATTTTTTTTTTTTATTTATTTAAAAAAAAAACAATATATTATTGAAGAAATTCTTGAATAGATACTACTACCATTTTATATTGAATGTACAATAAAAAATTTTTTTTAATTTTTTATTTATTGTATATTTTATTTAAAAAAAAACATTAATTTATTATTTAAAAAATTCATGAATTGATACTACCACCATTTTATATTGAATGTACGATAAAAAAAACTTTTTAATTTTTTGTTTATTTTATTCTTTATTTAAAAAAAAAACATTAATTTATTATTGGAAAAACCCTTGAATAAATATTATTATGATTTTATATTAAATTTATCATGCAAAATCACCTTTAATTTTTCACTAATTATGTAGTTTAAATAAAAAAATATGAACCATAGTATGTATTAAAAATATATATTCTACATATGTTAGATTTTATAAAAACATATATTTTAAAATGAAAAATTAAAATTAAATTCCGTTAAATAAATAAAATATTAATAAGGAGATTTTTGAATTTTTATATATATTATATATTGTTCTGAAAACTATGTTTTTTATAAGAAATAAAATAAAATTAATAAGAAAATGAAATATTAAATAAAGAAAAATAATTTTAGAAAATGTATTAAAAATAAATTTAGAGAAATCTTAGTAGTAAAAAGTAAGAAAAATATATATATCTTATATTAATTTTAAAAATGTCACTTTTATATAATAAAGGATGTGAAGATTCTGGAGAATTTATCAAATGTCATATGAGTTTATGTTCCATAAATCCAAATAAATTACAATCATCATATTGTACGATTGAACCTAAGTTTGTTATAACACAACGTCTTTTTAATAATGCTTTAATTAACACTTCAAAAAATATATTTACATACGAACATTATGGACCAGATTATGAGTCTAGTATAACCATTCTTTCAAATGAAGATAACGATGGTATTTTGATTCTATATGAATATAATCCATGGTATTTTAAATATCCAAAAGAAACTTATTTATGTCGCCTTAGAAATAAGAATCAAAAGATATCATTGTGCGAATCCATTAATGTAAATTATATAGGAAAAAGTATTTCATTTAATTCATATGATATTATTAATATAGACGATAAGAAAAATGATCTAATTAGTGTGAAACATTTAAAAAATCCTAAACATAGAATTATTAAATTGAAATATAATGAAATTACTCTTGAGAAGTATTATCGTCATTATGTAAGAACAAAATATAATCCACATCAAATTTACAGGTATATCATATGTGAAAAAGATGATCATGGTAATACGATGTGTGCTAATTCTAATTATAATGGAAAATTAATTCATTTAATTGAACAATATGGACTCAGCCCTCCAAATGAAGAAAGAATAGTGTATCTTCCAAATAAATGCTTAAAAAGTGATTCAAATTTGTTATGTACTCCATATATGTGTATAAAAAATGATTTTAATGAATCATATTCATGTGAATATGAAGAAATTAGTATTGTAAAAAACATTTTTCCAAGTCCAGAAACATTCAAAGCAATATCGACAAATCATAAGGCTATTTATCATGAAAGTAATCTTAGATCTTCTTCAGTTTATGCAATGACTCTCATGCCTTTTTTAATTATTTTCATTTTTTTTTTTTGTTATATGTATAAGATTTTTAGAAAGAAGAGAAGTAAGCTATTTACATAAAATTTAAGTATATTAATGCTTATATTATATACATGTTCTATATTTTTATATTNAATTTAATTGGTACTTTTACTAAACAATTAAATGGGATTCGCAATATAAAAAATCTCCATAAATCGTCAATATTATATCTGTTTGCTTTTTTTTATTTTTTTTTTTTTTTTTTTTTTTTTTTTTTTTTTTTTTTTTTTTTAATATTATTTCGTTATAGTAGTTAATTTCACATAAACCATTCATAAAAATAAAATAAAGTATTATTAAAAAAATATTATATATATGATCTTTCAAGAATATATTATTAAAAAAGAAATAAAAAAAAAAAAAAAAGATTAAAAGCATTATAACAAAAATAAAAAAATTTCAATAAAGATTTTAGCATTTAACCAAATAACATAAACATAAAACACTAAACGAAATAAATTATTTTAAAAAAGACAACTATTCAAAAATAGAAAAAAGCATTTAAAAAAGAAAATTTTTTTTTTTAAAGAGATTAATATTTAAAAAGAAAAATATGCATATTCTTAAAAAATTGCCATATTAAGCATTATAAATTCTAAAAAATTAATGTATATATAAAGAAATTCAAAATTATGACATTATTGTATATTTGAACTTTTAAATATTTTAATAAAAACATAAAATTTCTCTTTTTTTTTTTTTTTTTTTTAAATATGAATTCATAAAAATAGAACACAAAAAAATAAATAAAAAAATACATAAGGTAAGATTAATGATTTATGATCTTTTAAAATAAAACTTTAAAATTTTTTTTTTTTTTATATATATATATATTTTATAAATTGTTTATATTATTTAATGTAAACAACAGGTTATATATAATTCAATGATGTTATATAATGCATATTTTTTTTTTTTTTTTTTTTTTTTTTTATTTATTTAAATGTGTGCTAATTCTAATTATAATGGAAAATTAATTCATTTAATTGAACAATATGGACTCAGCCCTCCAAATGAAGAAAGAATAGTGTATCTTCCAAATAAATGCTTAAAAAGTGATTCAAATTTGTTATGTACTCCATATATGTGTATAAAAAATGATTTTAATGAATCATATTCATGTGAATATGAAGAAATTAGTATTGTAAAAAACATTTTTCCAAGTCCAGAAACATTCAAAGCAATATCGACAAATCATAAGGCTATTTATCATGAAAGTAATCTTAGATCTTCTTCAGTTTATGCAATGACTCTCATGCCTTTTTTAATTATTTTCATTTTTTTTTTTTGTTATATGTATAAGATTTTTAGAAAGAAGAGAAGTAAGCTATTTACATAAAATTTAAGTATATTAATGCTTATATTATATACATGTTCTATATTTTTATATTTTTTAATATATAAAAAATGAAAAGACAAATAAAAATATGTGCTCATTAAACATATTAAATTTTATGTTCTTTCTTTTTTTTTAGGAAAAATTAATTAATGGTAAAAATTCAGAATTAATATTATATGAAAAAATCAAATATTTATACAAGCTTAATACAAAAATAATAATAAAGAATTTATATTTTATATTTAATATGTTCTATTAGAATCGTTAAGTAAAACATTTTATCATAATAAATTATAAAGTTTAAAAAAATTTCATATATATATAATTGATTTATTAGTTATTTGCTAAGTGATTTTGACAGATTACAGAACAAACAGATTAATAAACTGCACGTAGAGCTGTCTCTACTAATTTAATTAAATTATGTATAATATTTAACGATATAAGTAAAAAAACTAGGATTATATATTTTATTCCTTTGAAAATTTGTTGTTTCCGAGAGGTATTTATTTATCTTAATAAAAATCTCTATATTTATTAAAAATTTAAATTCATGTTGATTATTAATTTTTAATTAATTGTATGTTATATATAATGTTATAAGTAATAATTAGTAATTCAAATTTATTGCTTTCAAGTTAACAAACATAATTAATTGATTTATTAATTATCTATTCAATGACTTTGCTAAAGTTTGAACGGATTATTAAGGGAATATGGAATTACCTCTACTAATTTAATTAATTTATGTATAATTTTAATGATATAAATAAATAAAATGTTTTATATATATAGTTTACTACATTAAACATTTATTATTTTTTAAGAGACATTTATTTACTTTGATAACAATACATATTTATATTAAAATCTTAAATCCTCATTAATTGTTGATTTTATTAACATATATTTTATTTATTTTGTTATATGTATTGTTTAGAATTTCAAATCCATTTATTTTAAATAAACAAGCCTAAATAATTAACAAAATACAAAATAAATTATATAAAAACTACTAACATGAAAATTTTATTATAACATATAATTTTCTTATATAAATTTAAAACAAAATATATAGGAAAATTTTTAGTTAACAACTCTTCTTTTTTGAATTTTTTTACAATTTAATCATTTTATAAAGAAAAAAAAGGTACCTTTTATGTATCTTTAAATTACTAAAATATAACAGAAAAAGTTAATTACTTTTTTTTTTCCCCCTTTTTATCTATGACTTGTATGGCTAACCATTTATTTTTTTTATAACTATTATTTTTTATTATCAAAAAGGTTAATAATCTCTTTTAATAACTTCCTATTTGTTTTATTAACTGGGTGTTCGGTGACCTTACTATAGTACTGAATAAACAAATTAATAAAGAGCATGTAGAGTGGCCTCTACGGTTTTCATGTATTTGTATATATTTTTAAATGCTTTGAACGAGTGATTCTTAATTATTTTCTCTACTTTGTTCAGCATTCTTTAATTTCAATAGGCATTTATTTACTTTAATAAAAATCCATATTTTTATTAAAAATTTAAATCCTTGTTAATATTAATTATTATTTAATTGGAATTTATTTATTTCTTTGTCATGAGTTATGTTCAGCAATTTAAATATATTGATGTTGAATTAACAAACATAAACAATTAGAGAAATTACGAAAAAATTATATAAATATTAATTCTGTAATAATTTTGTTATTATATGTATAAAATTTTCTCTTAAAAAATTAAAAATTATCTTTCATTCCAAAAAAAAAAATCTTTTTTTTTTTTTATTTTTTTTTTTTATTTTTATTTATTGGTAAACAAATCTTTTTCAAATTGAATTTTTTTTTTCCTGACGATCTTTGTATTTATTTTTATATAAATATACAAACAAAAAAAATTGATCATATATTTTTTTCTTTTTTTTATTTGTGTGTGCATAACCAACTAGGAATTCTTCATATAACTAGTTCTTTTATTTTCCAAAAAGGTTAATGAAGCCTTTTATTAACCAATTTGCTATTTCCTCGCAAGATGGTTTGACGTATATGTCTTCATATACCTCTTGAGGTTTACTACAATATAATGTCATACAATTAGGAAGATCTGTTTCATCTTCTATTAATCTAGTGATCCAATCATCTAATCTATTTTGAACTCCTTCAATATGTTCATATTCTAAGTTATATTCAGATATTCTTAACTTCCATCGATATAATTTTCCAGTATTGATTGAATCCATTCCAATAATACCTTTACAATATGTTATAATTAAGGTTTTAGATCCTTTAATATAATAATCGAATGTTTCGCATGCTACTACAATAGCAAATAATTCTTTTTCAATCGTACTCCATCTCTGTTGTGCTTCATTTAGTTTCTTCGTTGTGTAATGAATGAATCTAGTTTGACCTGTGTCCTCATCAACTTGGGTCAATACAGCTCCTATGGAATAATCTAATGCTTCAGTATAAATAATATAGGGATATCCTAATTATGGGAATGAAAGATAAGTAATTTCTGTCATTTTATTCTTGATTTGCTCCAAAGCTTTTGAATGCTCTTCTTTCCTTTCAAATTTCTGTTTCTTAGTTAACAATGGAACTAGTTTAAAAGTCCACTCTGAAAAGTTCATAATATAATTTCTATAATAATTAGCAGCTCCTAAGAATGATCTTAATTCCTTTATAGATTTAGGACGTTCTGCCTCAATAAGTGTTTTCACCTTATCTAATGAAAGTCTTATACCATTTCATTCTATCTCTTGCCCAAGATAAGTTATAGATGTTTTAAAAAGTTAACACTTTTCTATATTTATTCTTAAATTATTATTACAGAGTAATCCAAATACCCTTTTTAATACTTCTAAGTGTTCAAATAATGTTTTTGTAAGAATGGTGATGTTATCAATGTACACAACTACATAATTCTCTTGAATTAATTGCATAAAAATATCTTCCATTATTATTTGAAATTGTGTTGGACTTGTTTTTAATCCAAATGGCAATACGTTAAATACAAATGTTTCCCTCTTAGGAACTATAAATCCAATATATGGTTTACTACTTTCCTCCAATGCGATATTCCAAAATCCATTTTTAAGCTCTTTTTGCAAAAACCATTTTTTTCCCAGAAACGTTTGAAATATATGTTTCATATGTGGGATGATATATAAATCATAAAGTATAAATTTATTTAAATATCTATAGTCTAACGTGATTCTCCATAGACTTGTTTTCTTCCGAACCATTACTATTGGTGAAGTCTAATTTGGATTAATTACTTTACTTATTACTTTTAATTTTATCATTTCATCTATTTTTCGATGTAATTCTCATAACATTTCTTTGCTCAATGGCCTAGGGTTATAACACCGAGGTTTCCCTTGTACCTGTACAGAAACTTTGTATTTGTTGTTGGGTTCCATGATTTTATTTTTCCAGAGTAATGTATTATTTCTTAATACTTTTTCCAACTCTTCTAGATTTTTTTTGATCTTTTAAGTCAGATCCTTTAATAAAATTCTAAATAATTTCTATATTCGAATTCTCTAATTTATCCTCCCTTCGGGTTTAACTTCCATGATATACACATGTGGATCTTTTTTTTTACGATGGAATATCTGGTTAATAAAAAGCTTCATTAACCTTTTTTGCTATAAAAGGATTAGCTATGTGGTGAATACATAGTTAGTTGTGCTAATTAAAAAAAAAGAAAAAAAAAAAAAAAAATATTGGAATTTTTTTTGAGAAAATGTTTCTTTCGAAAAAGATAAAAAAAAAAAAAAGAAGATTTAATTTTTTTTTTTAGAGAGAGAAGGGAATCGGAGAGAGAGATTTTTTTTTTTACAAAAGATAATGATATTTTTGTAAAGCGTTTAATTTGCATAATATTTATATTTTGAATTTGTGAGAGAAAATTTTATACATATGAAGATAAAATTTTCATGTAATTAATATGCATATAATTTATTTGCATTTTTAATAAGTATTTGTGTTTTGTAATTCAATAGCAATATAAAATGATTGCTGAATATAACTCATAATAAATAAACTAATAATTATAATCAATTAATAGTTAATGTTGAATAAGTGTTTAAATTTTTAATAAAAATAAGGATTTATTTATTAAAGTAAATAAATACTTATTGAAATGAAAGAATGCTGAACGAAGTAGTTCATGATTATAGATCATTCGTTCAAAGCATATAAAAATATACATAAGTATAAGAAAATCGTAGAGTCATCTTTACATGCTCTTAATTAATTGGTTTGTTCAGTACTCTAGAAAAGTCTCCGAACACCCAGTTAATAAATCAATATCCTAATTCGTCCATTACTAAACCACTAAGTAATATAATGGGTTTATTTGTTTTTATTATGGCAAATCTGGTTATTACCTTTATATTGGTAGATTTCATGTATATTTTCACCTTTTTAGATTTCATTGCAATGTCCCCGCTATATATTCTGCAAATTTTGATTGGTTGTATTGATGTATCTGGCTCAATAGCTAGTTCTTTGACTGAAACCGTTGATACAGTACATAGATCCGCTCCTGTATCTATTAATACATTAACGTTATGACCATTAATTACTACTATTTGTTCCACATTATTACATCGTCCTTTTTCGCTTCCAATTTCTATTGTCCTATTGGTTAATAAAAGGCTTTAATAACCTTTTTGGTTAGAAAAAGGACTAATTATATGAAGAATGCATAGTTAGCCAAGCAGGCGCAAAAAAAAAAAAAAAAAATTTCATTAATTTTTTTATTGAGGAATTCAAATACGTAAAAAAAAAAAATATTTATTTTTTTTAAAAGATTTAAATGAAAGAAAAAAAATTGATAAAATATAAAATCGAGGAATAAGATTTAGTACCAATAAAAATGAGATCTTAAACAGATAAAAGATATTTTTATATAAAGGAGTTTAATTTACATAATATTTATACTTTTAATTTTCGAGAGAAAATTTTATAAATATGACAATAAAACTTTCGAGTAACTAATATTCAAATAATTAATTTGCATTTTTACTAATTGCTTATGTTTGTTAATTCAACAGCAATATATATTAATTGCTGATTGTAACTCATAACAAAGAAACTAGTAATTTATATTTAATTAATAATCAATGTTCAATAAGGATTTAAATTTTTAATAAAAAAATAAGTATTTTAATTAAAGTAAATAAATGCCTAATGAAATCAAAGAATGTTGAATAAATTATATTACATAATTAAGGATCACTCGTTCAAAGAATTTAAAAACATATATAAATACATAAAACTGTAGAGGCAATTATACATGCTCTTTATTAATCTGTCTGTTCAGTACGCTAGAAAAGTCACCGAATACCCAATTAAAAAAACAATTGTATATTACATAAAGTTATATATTAACTCTCAAATATTTCTTCAAATTTTCCTGTTTCTTCATCATTCCACCTATTTCGTCTGCTACTTATTTCTTCTATTTCGTCTTCATTTATTTTATCTTCTTTTGCATTTAATTCTTCAATTTTTCTTCGCTCTAGATTTTCTTTTCTCTCCTTCTCTTTATTTTCCACCATATTTTTTAGATTTTTATCTTCATGTTTTCTTCTTCTCTTTTTCTCTACTTTTTGAATTTTTTTCTTTGCTTTAAACTCTTTCTCAATTAGATCATTCTCTGTTTCTTTTTTATTTTTCCATTTTTTTTCCAAGTTATCAAATCCGGATTTTTTGTATTCCTTGTTTTCCTCTTTATTATGTTTAAGCCTATTTTCTTCATATTCTTCATAAATCTTTCTATTAATTCTATCTTGGTTTAATTTTTTCTTATCTGCATCTCTTTTAATTTTTTTTTCCATATACTCTTTTGTCACTTTACAATAATCAATATGTTCTTTTAACTTTCTATTAAAGTCATTTTTCTTCTCCGTTAATTTTTTTTCTTTTTTCAATAACTTTTTGTCTAATTTATCTTCTTCCTTTCTCTCCTCAGACCTAATATTTTTCTCAATATCTATCAATTTTTTCTTCCTTTCTCTTTGGTAATATCTTTCTCTCGATCGCCTCATTCTCTCATCGCATTCACGAATTCCTTGACTTTTATTATAACTCTCCGATCTTTCTGCTTTAATCCTCTCATCTTCCTTTGCTATTCCTTCATCCCTCTTTCTTTCTTCCTTATCTAATTTAAGAATTTCTTCTTCTCTTATCATTTCCCATTTTGTTTTTAACGCATTTTTTTTTATCTCCTTATATTTTTCAAAATTTTGTTCCTTCAACTCTATATTTGCTCTTTTTAACTTTAACTTCTCCATAATTTTTTGGTAATTTCTTCTCAACTTAGCTTTTTTCTTCAAATATTTTATTTCTTTATCTAATGATTTTTTATTTTCCTTTTTAATTTTTTTCCATTTATTTTTAAACATTTTTTTTTTACTTTTATTACATTTTTTTCTCTCTTCTTCTTTTTTTTTTAATTTTTCTTTTTCACTATTATACCATTTGTTTTCTTCTGATTTCTTTTTCAACATAGCTATTCTCATATTTTCTTCTCTTCTGCGATTATTCAAATTCTCCATTGAAAGGAATATCTCTTCTTCAAAATCATCTAATTCTAATTCTAATTCTTTTTTATTTTCTTGTTCTGATTTCAGACAACTTGAATTGCTGGGATATATATGTTCTAAAAATGTTGGTAACTTTTGAATGTCTTCTAAATATAACTCATTTTTAGAACGTAAATCTTTTAATTCTTGAGAATTATCTAGATGTTGCCTCTCTAAGTGTGACTCATCTAAAGATTGCGGGACATCTAAAATTTCAAATAATTCAATATTTTCAAGTTCTTTTATGTGATCTTTAATCTCTTTTATCTCTTCAAGATCCTCTATTCCTTTTGTCGTGCTTTTGGCGCTTAAACATCTTTCTCCTCTTGAACTTTTATGAAAGTCTCCAATTGCATTATTCTATAAGAAAATTAAAAATAAAAAGTAAGTATTTTTCATTTTTAAATAAGTATTTCATCTTACTTTATTAAAGAGAGAAATAAGTAGGGCTGTACTAATATAAAGAAATATATGTAACTTCTTAAAGGAAAACTTTGGTAGTTTTTTTGAATCATGATTTTTTGAAGATATAAAAGATAAAGAGGAACTTATTAGTGGTGTAGTAGATTGAACAAATCCTGACATGTTTGCATGCAGGGAACTTACAATTTTTCTATTTTTATTTCCAGAAATAATTGTACTTATTACTCTATAAAGTTGCGTGTTATATTTTAATTCTTTTTAAATGCAAACAAAATATCTTAAAAATATTTTTATATATAATATACGACGGCTATCTTTAGATAAAATAACAAATTAGAAATTTCTAAAAATAATTGATAATTAGGATTGTGAAATTAAGAATACAGGAGAGAAGCATAAAATATGGAAGGCAAAATTATATTATAGTAATGTTAAAATAAAATTCATCATTCATAT